ACAGAATAATATTTTGACGCCCTGAAACAGTGATTTCGTGCCACTGCAATTGGGTAAAAACCCACAATTGATAGGCTAATAATCCATTGATGCCCTAACTGCATCTATTATATAGAATGTCATACCACTACTTGGGCCAGTGTATAAGGCGTCATGGAAGGCTAAAATTCGAAATCTCTGGTACTGAAACGCTGAAACAGGAAGATCAAATTACTAAGGTGGACGGACATACTGACCTTCATCAAAAATTCACGGAGGTTCGAAAAGGAGAATTGGGAGAAGGAATAGTAGATATTATGTGTACATGACGTGTGCAGCAGGGCTCGGCATAAAAGGCTCACTGGGGCCTACTTGCTAGGCGCCTCCCCTTCCTCTACTACTACTAGTATGTACCTATACCTATGGAAAATTAATTGACAAAATTATAATTTATTATCACTTGTAGTATTCCAAAGTTGTTATAAAATGGAAGAATATAATATGTTACATTTCAAACTAATATTTCCATGCAAATATTATAGGAAGAAATCAGGAATCTATTATTGGTGCCGAAACTGCGAGCCAAACTGAATTTATTCATGAACCTGTATGCAAATCAAATGAACAAATGAATTCTAAATCTGGTGTGGAATTTTCCTACCGAATACCACACGAGGTCAAATTACTTTCCAGGAATTTTTTCTTTCTCATGAATATTCCGAGAATTAGCCGACTCGGAATAATTTTCAAAATATCCATGAGCTTAATGGTATTACAATAAGTGACAATATCTTGTTTGTCGAAGTATATAGAAAGGAATATTGGCAAATTCGATTCTGAACGTCTCAGCTACAAAACATTAATCTATTGGAAACAGGGTTGGAATAAGTCATGACTTTTATAAAAAAGTCATCAAAGTACGACTTTTTGAATTAAGTCAGACTTTTTTGAATTAATTCATTTGAAAAAAAAATTTCATTTACCTACCCAAAGCGAAATAGAAAAAAGAAACAGAAAAACTATGTTTTTATTCCCTTCAGAAATCTTGTAGAATAACATCATAATATAACATGTCATTTTTTCAACAAAGTTCTTAACACATGGAGAAAAAGTTTATTAGTAGATTAAAAAAGTGTATTAGTAGATTATCTGACTACTTGAAATTCGATTTTCACACATGTCACTTGATCAGTGGAATGGGGGGAAAATCAAAAAATTACGATGGCAAAAAGTGGGGTTGGATGGGAAGATGAAGTTATTTGAAAAAAATTAAAATAGCTATTTTATGATTTCTCAAATAATGGCTGGAAACTCCATATGTGAGTTAAATTGAATTCAATTCAACTTGTACATCATCAACATCACTACTGTCAAAAAAATAAGAGAATTGTAACAAAATTGAAGAATATTCGAAAAAATATAGCTATTTCCAATTCTCCTCCAAAAATTGCTCGAAACTGAATGTGGAATAACAACTTAATAAGAAATTTTTATGGATATTTTGTTATCTAACCCCACTTTTCATCGCTTTTTTTATTTATCACCATACCAGTGATCACGTGACATGTGTCAAAATCGATTTTCAAGTTATCGGATATGCATAATGGATCGCTGAGAGAAAAAAATTCGATGCTGTGATAATGAACCTGTTCTCATATGTTATGGACTTTATAGATGATACTTGATTGTTAGTAAAAATCTCTGTCATGCTTGGAATAACAAAGTCTTGCCAAAATACCATCGAATTTTTCAGTTCAAACTAGTTAAAATCAAAGGTAATAGTGCAATTTGTCTCATTTTTAAAGAATTCAATGAATTCATGACTTTTTCGAAAAAAGTCAATGGAATTAATTCACGAATTAAATCACTGATTTAATTCATATGAATTAATTCATGCCAACCCTGATTGGAAAGTATCTCAGTAGTTGTTATCGTTTATACGTAGAAATTCTTTATTTATTCATGTATCCATGTAGGCTTCTCGAGTATAAAATTTCATGAGAATTACTACCATCCATAAATATTTACAAGGCAACCTTTCCAGTAAAAGAACATGTGTGAAACTTCACATTATTCTGTTCCGAAGCAGTAATTCAAGACTAATCCTCAGGACATCCAGAAGGCCAGCATTCCCTAATAGGCACTCTTCCAGCTCTATTCAATTCATATTACCACCCATTCCAATAAAGAGTTGGCAGGACAGAAGCTGCAGTATTACGTAGCTCTGCCATTATATCATTACCTCTAGGTCATTTATTACGGCAGATACAGTGCTGAGATAGTTTAAACAAAGGTACGTTTGCGGTGGAATGGAATTATTAGCATATACTTTTAGATGACAGTCTGATGATATATACTCCGATGGAGAACGAGTTATGTTAATATTCCTGCCGGTTATGACCACCGGACCAGGGAGGTAGCAGTTTATGCTTATATGTGGTATTGAGATGGAAATTATCTCACAATCTTTGAGTTAGGACAACTGGGTGCACGTCTCCAAAAAGGACCCACCCACCGAGATATGCGCCTTTCTGAGAGATTAACGAAAAAGGAAGGAAATAACAAAAAGTGCCGACAGCTGGACCTACGAGCAACTAGATTCTCATCTCTTGCGACTATGAATAATATAATGTTCAAGGCGATCCATATTGTGTCCACTAGAAGATGAAATGATTACGATATGGTAAAAAAAAATTTCAGTTCTGGACTATCATCGACGAACGATTACAAATTCTTCTATTTGGTAAATAGTTCACATGTTTATGATATACTTGGTTAAGTAGGTACATATTAACTCCAGAGTTGTCGAGAAATCTTTATCAAGACAAATGCTCGAGATAATTTCGAATGGATTCGACGTAAGGAAATATTCGAGGAAATATTCATGTAATATGGAGACACTAGTTCGAATATATAAATATTCATCGCGAATATCACTGATGATTGGAGTTGGACGACCGGCTATAGTTTCTTTCGTCAGAAAGCATTGGAAATACCGAGTGAGATACTACATTTCGGCAATTTCATAATGCCAGTAATTAAAGGCACTTTCAATGTCAGCAACAATTCTTTGCTACTTTGTAATTATTATGCCAAAGCGTGCCAAAGGATTCAGTCGTCGATATACCATTGATCATATACCAAATTCAACATTTGAAGTCTTAATTGACAATTTTACAAAGACATGCAAATAATTTCAATGACGTCTAATGATATCTAAAGGGAGTCAATTGTTTTCAACTACTTCTAATGGCTCTTGGAAAAACTATAAGCTACTTTTACTGCCATGAACTTCTGGAATCTTCGAGGGAATCTTTCAATGTCTTCAAGAGACCTTCAGAGAATCACAATGCTTCCAAAAGATTATCGAATGCATCAAGAATGATTCAAGGAGTCTATTAGAGTTTCGATGACATCCAATAACATACAAATTATTTCAAATAGAACTAGTTGGAGTTGCTCTCAAAGAGGTATCATAACTTTCAAAGGAATACACGGACTTTCATCCCAGAGAAATCCTTCAAAAAGTATCAATGACTCTCAATAGTTCACAAGTACTGCAGCATACCTCAGATAACTCAAAGTTGAAGCCTTTCAATGCCTTCAAGAGATCTTCATCGACTCACAATGTATTCAAAAAAGTTTAAAAAAATTTGAAAGTGGTACTGCGACATCCAATAACATCAAAATACTTCTGAATACATCCAGTTGGATTTACAATTCCAATTGGTCCTGTGGACCTCATTTGTCAAATATCGAAGGCTTGAAATGGGTCACAATGACTTTCATGTACTTTTGAAAAGTTCTGCTTTAGAAACAGTCTCGAAGACTCTTTTGCTTTACAATATGTTGTTTTTATTACAATGCCTTCAGGAGAGTTTCTAAGATTTCATAAGTGGTACTATATATCATCCAATAACATCAAAATATATTCAAATACATCTAGTGGGCTCTTAGATAATTCCGAGGATAATTCCGATGATAACTTCAAATGGTCCTGGAGACCTCATTTGTTGAATATCAAAGGCTTCACAATGACTTTCATGTACTATATGACATCCAATAACATCAAAATATATTCAAATACATCTAGTTGGCTCTTAGATAATTCCGATGATAACTCCAAATGGTCCTGGAGACCTCATTTGTTAAATATCAAAGGCTTCACAATGACTTTCATGTACTTTTAAAATCTTCTAAAGTCCACCAGTCCTGCAATGTCAGCGATGCTCTCAAAACAGTTTCAAAGACTCTTCTGCTATACAATATGATGTTTTGATTACAATGTCTTCATCAAAGTTTCAAAGATTTTATATCTAAGTAGTTCTGTGGCACCCAATAACATAAAAATATTTTCGGATACATCTAAATAGTTCGATTTTAAGGTAGTTCAGATTAGTCCTAGGGACCTCATTTATCGAATATCAAAGGCTTACAATGGTTCACAATGACTCTCATGTTCTTCGAAAAAGTCCACCAGTCTTTCAATGCTTTCAAAACAGTTTCAAACACTCTTCTGCTATACAATAATATGTTGTTTTAATTAAACTATCTGACCTAACTGACTTGAATTACAATGATAATTATGGTCCTTCCTGTGATGAAGACAGAGCAACACGAATTGGAGTGGGTAAACAAGCTCGGGGAGTTTGCTGTGCCGAGCGGCCCGTGAATGGATTTCTGAGACGATTTCCATTTCCTTCACGAATCGTCCATTCTGTTTGCCGGAAACTTGCGTGTTTGTTTAACCCAATTCAGTGAGCCAGGCAGTCGAATCGTTTCGGAAAACAAACTACGTTGGTAGATAGCAAGAAGTCAAGAACCAACCTTCACCTCTATTTCGCAGCGCTGCAAAAACACCACCATTGTAAGGTTCTGAACAGTTCTGAATATGGACGAAAGTTGTTTATTAAGTATCACTTCAGAATTTGGAGAACCTTCCATATCCTTCTACAGGGAAAAACTGAAACTATTCCAATTGAGTGACCCTTGCAGACATTGTTTCGATCGTTATTTATCAGATCACATTTTAGAATCACGTTCGAAGATAATGCAGACTTCTACCTGATTCAACCGAAATCGACGAAATTGTCAAACTTTGCGAATCAGAAGAAGCTGCATCATCTGAAGAAAAACAGTCTAACAAAGTAGTGGACAGCGTCAACCAGAAAAGTCAGCGAAGGCGAAGGACCACTCGAAAATATCCCCGATGCAACCAAAATTGTCATAAGAGTCTCAAAGATTGCCCAGCAAGGAATACCATTTGTGACAAATGTCATATTGAAGGTCCCATAATACGTTTTTGTCGCACAAAGTTTATTAGTGAGGTTAATGAGGGACCTCGTGAGAAATATTCTGAAAGGGAAAGTTCTCATATAACTACGGTTTGAATTAATCAGATAACATCCAATCGACGACAAATTCAGATATGCGTGGAAGTATCCGAAACAAAATTAAGTAAAAAAAACTTCCATGTATTTGGTGACTTCTGATACGGGTGCAGAAATATGTGTAGCTGGTGAAGACTTCTTAGCCACAACGTCATTTCAAGTCGACCAGTTGAATCCTACCGACTGCGCCATGTGAGGTTCTGAATATAGACGAAAGTTGTTTATTAAGTATAACTTCTTTATTCAAAACCAATCAATATGACAATAACTGTCAATCCTTCATAGGGTGTATCCACAACTCATTATAATTAACAATCGTTAACAATATTATCATACCACATCATTCATCAACAATAGATGTATAGTGATTTTCTGTAATGTCCACCCTTTTATTTTTTGAACGGGTCAACGAAGAACATTGATACTTGGGGCAATGAAAGTGATGCATGAATACTATATTTTGATGTTAAATTAACAGATGAAATTTTCCAGATGGCGACTGGGCCCTGTATCTCATAAACGGAAAGAGTTATGCAAGATCAGATCAGACTATCTTGAGTTTCACAAAGTAGCACAGGACCGCAAAAACCTCAGCATCGAAAACTGGACACACTGTACATTCAAATCGCCCATGATGATGATTTCTGATGCTGGATGGTTCTGCCCAATCTCGTGCCCAATTAGGTCTAGCTTCAAGGACAAGAACTATGCTGAGATCGTTACAGCATTCATGAATATTTGTGGGAGTTTTAGACTCGGTTTTAGATATTACAAAATTGCATCAAAGGTCCATACTTGCTCGCAAACATTCCTCTGATGCATTCCAAGCTATGCAAATTACATACCCAGTTATATTTGACACACAATAATCGAAATTCCTCAATAATAATTGATACTTATACCGTGCGACCATAGATATTTCAACATACACGAAACCCGAGCATAAACCCTTATAAATAGTGTCTTCTGATATTCTGATTCACTGATTCACTGATTGAATTACATTTGAGTTGATTCCGTAGCATCAACTTTTCCAAAGCTGCTCCACCTGTTGTGGAATATTGAGCGGTTAGTGATTAGTTATAGGAAGATGATAGGTATATCTACTGAAGAATTCTGGGCAGTTTTAGAAACTACATAAAATATCATATTCTCTGTGAATATCTCAGAAAATATAGATAATCCATGTGCCTACCCAAATAACTCTGTTTATAGATCATTGAATTCATGAGAAAATGAAATCAATGTATTTTCAGAAATTGTCTTAAAGAAAACAAAAATGTAGAGTTGGAAATCACTCAATTAGTCATACAACATTCAAAATTGAATCTCTGTCCACCGCCTCATCAATCTTCCATGTCAATCACTATAACATACCACATTTAATCTTGAAAACTGAGCCAATTATAAGCGAACTGATTTACTGATCCGACTGATCTGGAGCATCTGCAAAATTCGTTCGAAATACTAGCCTTGTTTTTTCAGAAAATCAACATTCATCACATTTCCAAAAACAGTCGGTATTCGAACAAAGCTCCCAAAGCCTTCTACTTCTCTTTCACTTCGATGTTGGCGGTCATTCTGAAAAAGTACCTACATATATGAGAATTTGTCTAAATCGGTCCCAGTTGGCCACGAGTATGTGTTTGAATGCGGTCTCGAAGGAGATATCCGGTGTTCGTGGAAATAACCATTCTACATTCATTAGGGAAATTGCATCTGTTGAAATCCACCGCACTGAATTGCAGTTTGACTCGATTACTTCCGAAAGTCCACGTGAATTCATGTTTGTTTCCACTCTGCAGGAACATTGCCCGATCCTGACCGTGATTGTCAATCCTTGACTAATTTACATTGGGTTGAACCACGGTTGAGGGAATATACCGACTACCAAAAAATTCTTTGAGACAGCATAGATCTAAATATTTAGTTCTATGGAGACAGCAAATAAATTCGCTGGGTACTATTAATGAAAAGTTCAGATGAGCCAATCAATTGCAAAAGTGTTTTATTTTCGCTTAAACTGGGGACTTGTGGAATGGCAGAATAAGAAAACGAGTGTACCTATATTGAAACCGTCACTTTTATGACGTTGCAGTGACGTATCTATGACGTCTGAAAATCACGTCTGTGTGACGTACCAATTTGGTCATTCAGAAAATTTTCCATCAATTTGCTATTTGGATTTTTGTTTGGTGACAAATACTGCATGAATTTACGTTGCTCAACAAAGTCGAGCTCAATTCGCCAACATCCTTTTCATAGGTATGAAACTATTCTTGATTATTCCAAAATTTTTTGGGATTTTCTCCTCGTTTCTATAAAATAAAAATATGAATATAACGACAAATCAGATGATTTGCCCCAAAATGTCACTGCGTATAAAGAATTTTCCTATCAGACAGCCTAAAAGAAAAATTCACTACCTTGTCAGTGACAATTTGTATTGAATAAAGTTTGGAGACGAGAAATAAAAGTATATAGAAAAAATATCAAATTCAAATTTTCACTAATCTTTGAACGTTTCGGGACCGAATCTGCTCCCGTTTTCAACATAAAAAATGGTTATTTGAATAGCAAAGTCGTATCTGTCTTGAAACTTTTCAGTGCTCAGTGACATTTGGTGACGTTGGCAATCAAATGAGTTACAGGATGTTTTCATCAATTAATCTTGAATTTACCATTTTTATGTTCAGATTTCAGTAGTGAATACCATGTTCTGCCTATATCAACTGAACAAGAAACAATGCTATTGTCTCCGTTCAGAAGAATGCAAGCAGATTCCTTGATTTTTCTCTTCTGGTTGTTATCTTCTTTTCCAATAATTTTAATATTATTCCATTCTGCCATATGTTGTCCGTCTTCAGTAAGGATATGTTCAGCTAGTTTCGATTTATCGATGTGTCTTTTCTTTATAATGTACCTCGTCCTTACTGAAAGAGGTCTGTTGAAAACGGGAGCATATTCGGTCCCAAAACGTCCAAAGATAAGTGAAAACTTAATATTTTCTCTAATATACCTTAATTTCTCTTCTCCAAACTTTTTTCAATGCAAATTGTCACTGACAAGTTAGTGAATTTTTCTTTTAGGCTCTCTGATAGGAAAATTCTTTAAACGCAGTGACATTTTGGGGCAAATCATCTGATTTGTCCTTACTACACGTATATTGGAACACATATTTTTATTTTATAGAAACGAGAAGAGGAAATCCCAAAAAAAGTTGAATAATATATGTACCACCTCCTTGATACCTCCTCGATCAAGACAGACAGAATTTAAACTATTCTTAGTTTGCTTACATCTTGCCGACACAAACTACATAATTTTTGATACAAATACGAGTAACTGATTTCATTCTGATGGGGATGCGTACTGAGAGATGGCGCTGTTGAATAGACGATTGAATGGACTTGACACCAGAGGGACCACCAAGCACACTCAACAATGCATAATCATGTCATCAGGTGTCAGTGGTGATTATCACACCATGTTCGAGGAAACGTTTTCACTGTCATCACCAAATTTGTACGTCATTTTGACGTCATTTCGACGTCACAGTTTGGTGAGTGAATGACGTCAATAAACGTAGGAAATATGACGTAATTGGGCTGTGACTTATCTACGTCATTAATCACGTCATACGACCTCAACTCCTGATGTCACCTTGGTCATTCAACTGACGTGAAAAGACGTCACTGAAACGTCATCTGGTTGCCTGGGGAGCACTCTTCGAGTAACGCTGGCGCTGTTATCTAGCCTAACACAACAGAACTGGTGAGAGTGAGAATACTTGCCCTCCTTCGGTTCACAGCAAGAACCAGGTCACAGCTGCCATTCCCTTTCTTCATCAGCGAACCAAGATCCATCTCATCTCCGAATTCGTGTCCTTCCACTTACAGACTCGCACATCGGTCTTTCTCTCCAACACAAAGTAGCAGCGGCAAGATTCCGATCTAAATGTTCCACATTAACATACAGCCGCCATAAAATACTCAGTTGGCCAAGATAGTGAAGCGGGCTACGTAGATATATCATCACGTTCTTCGTCCGAGCCAGGGAAAATTACACTTTATGGCGGCCCGAGGCTACAACGCCTCTACCTTTGTTATGTAACAGTTTTTATTTATTGGCAAAGTAAATTTCAATACTCGGTGCGATGAAATATGGCGTCTGGATACCGGACGCGATGCTCTCCACGCTTCACGGGTCGCGGGAATATCGAAAACAATTAGCGGAGTTTTATGGTTGGTCGCTTGACCCCGGCTGGTGTCTTGGTTGGTAATGGAATGCTTTGAATCAACCTGAAATTTCTCAGGACAAATCAATGAATAGAAGTTGCAAAGATTGTAAGTATGAGAAGATTGAATATGACATCCACGAATACCCGCGAATATCTTAAATATTCAGTAAAGAAGGTTCGGTGATGAGGGGGCATAATGTGTTCTTTTCGTAATTGCATCTATACATTAATGTCTACATATCGAGGTCTACATCCCCATGTGAGCATGGGACGATGTCTTCGGTTTGTATCATGCAATTACGATGAGAATGCACTTTGTCTCATTAAAATCAATAGTATATTATTCAACGAGCGAAGATGTGAAAGTTGCAGTACGAGCCGAAGGCGAGTGCTGTAATCATCTGAGTAGGTATCATCACTCGATTCATCACAATAATGTCTGTCATTAAATATTGAAAATCGAGTTAGCAATCGGTTAGCAATGTATGAATGACTCCAAAGTTGTAGATAAACATCTTTAT